GGATGACACAAATAGAGGATATATATATAATATCCCACAACCATTCAAACTTGAATTTTGTACAAATAACTGAAACAAGTAACAATACATAATACATTCCAATTTCTCATTTTTATAAACATTTCCACCATTTCGGGATAAATCCACACCCCATCATGACGGACATACAAAAATCAGAATGAAACAAACAGGAAGAAGAAGTTACATCTGAAAGGAGCACAACAACAAACTTTGTAGATTGTTATGAACGAGATCTGTAAGCCTAGGCCTATGTGGGGATAAGTCTTGAAGAAAATACATTACAAATCCATTTAAAACTATTTTCTATTCACATCTGATGTCGGTCGAGGGACATAGTCAGGGTCATTGTCACTGTCGATGTAGTCACTGTCGGTGTAGTCACTGTCGGTGTCACTGTTTGCTCTGTGTTGTAGAGGTGGCTGTTCATTTTCAAGAGTATTGTCACCGTCACTGCCATCTCTTGGAGGAGGAGGAACAGCTGCAGCAGTCTTCTTTCCTGTGCATTTCCCCTTGCCCTCCCCCTTTCATTTGCTCTACCTCTTTGCTTTCTGTGCGGCTCTCTCCTCTTCATCCGCCAGCAGTCTAGCGATACATTCCTCCGATGTGAGGCTTTCACCAAACTGCCTTTTGACTGCTCTCTGTCTGTTGACCCTATTATTGTCTGTTACTGGTTTCTTGATCATCAGAGTCAGTTTGGCAAAAAAAAAAAAAATCTTGATGGAGTTCTGGTGTGCAGACCGTGGTGAAAGTGTAAACCTGATGGAGCATTAGGTAGGGAGACGGCAGCAGAACTCGATGGAGCATTGGGTGAGGTCTGCTGATTATTCAGGGCAGTAGTCGGGTTGGGAGATGTTGAGGCAACAGCAGAGGATGTTCGATTTTTCCATTTCTGTATGGTTATACGCACTGTCTTCCTATTATAATTCCTCCCCATGATTAGTCGGTCTCTCTTGAAAATGGAAAAGAACATGAAGAGAAATTACTTCTAGATCTTGTTTAGCTTTAGTAGAGAGTTTTTGGCGCTCGAAACTGCATAAGGTCATTTGAGCGCCTCTTCTAGATCTAGATCCAGCTCTAAAGCATAGTCTACATAAGTAACATCATGTAGGCCCACAGTCAGGCTTATTGTTCAAACAGTTTTAATAGGCTATACACTTCCAAGACTCTTGGATGATGTGCTTTTCTAAGAAAAACAATAGTAAAGTATGTTGGGGCATTTCCTCACCCGCTTTTTATGGAATTGCAAAAAACAAAAAACAAGAACAAAAATAAAAAAAGTTAAAAAACACACATAACCCCCCAAAAAACCCAAAACAAAACAAAACAACAACAACAAAACCAACAACAAAATAACCCACCACCACCACCAACAACAACATGGATATGGACAAAACTATTTACAAGACATGGTTGCTAGGGCCGCCCATACCAAAATAAAAAATCCCATTGACATGGGATTTCGATCAACAGCTTCCTCCCCAGAAAGACGTGGGACATTCCAAAACCAAAAGGTGTGGAATTTCCCTGACCTTTTTGAAACTACAAGGCACCGCATCTTACGTTTGGGGTTCAATGTTACACTCATCTAATGAATGGTTAAGCATTTCTAGCTTGGGCTTCAAAATCAAAGAATATTCAGCAGCATTTTGCAATCTTTGAAAACCATGAGTGTTGCACTTACCTTCGACAGACTAGTAAAAACTTTCTTTCAGTGTCAGAATGCAACAGTAGTACAGATGGCTGCCTCTTGTTTTCAAACAGGGAGTAAAAGTCAAAGGCAGTTGAAAAATTGGAAGAGTTCTCAATTCGCTTTTCTTGCTTTCTTCCTGCGAAGAGCTAGATCTTAGGAGTGTGAGTGTGGAACTACCCCGGAGGTGGAACTCCCCCATTTTACCACAATTCTCATTATTTACATGTCTTTTACAGTCCTGCACAGCCACAGAAAATTTCAAAGAGGGATTATAAAGTATTATCTTATCATAATATTACATTTGCAGGTACCATCGACCTCCTATGTATAACCCCCACTTATGTCCGTGCCCGCCTGATTCTCTGTGCCAGGCAAGGTGTCAACCCTATTTTTGCAGTAAGTCATTGAGCTGTTAACGTGCTCGCCATACCCACACCCACTCTCACCTTCCATCTTCCTTCTCCCCCCCCCTCTCTCTCTCTCTCTCTCTCTCTCTCTCTCTCTCTCTCTCTCTCTCTCTCTCACTTTCTTTCTTTCTTCCTCACAGTCTTTCCTTTTGTTTACATGTTTTTCTCCTCCCCCTTCTTTATCTCGCCTTCACTCATTCTTTTCTCTTCTACCTTTTTTTTCTCACTTGCTGTCCCAAGGCGTTCTCTTGTACGTCTGCATGCTGATGAATGGGATCTGGAAGAAAAAATAAGAAAAAACGTGGTTTATAGATAGAAAGACAGACAGATAGATAGATAGATAGATAGATAGATAGATAGATAGATAGATAGATAGATAGAG